ATAGGCTCTCAGTACTGGCTTCCAAACTAGACTGACAAAGATGCGACAGTGGCAGGATAACTTTAAGCTCAGCGTTCATATCCTGGAGTGACTTCCACAAGGTCATCGAATTTTCCCTATTTTCATGTGGCGTTATGCGGCTGCTGTATCAGATCCAGTACCTTAACTTCAGGGCATCTTCTAGGGCTTCATGTCGAACCGTGCTCCTTGAATTGAGACGCCAGGATTAAGTTTGCGTGTGCACGTAGCACATACACATTTATTGGGCTGGACCACGGTTGAGCAGTAGTAGTCACTCGTTTACTGGGTTTGTTAATGTCGAAGAACAATATAACCAGCAGTTACAGAGGGCTTTGCAAAGACTTTTGTAACAAAAGTGATAGTTATTAGTAAGTGTTTCTTTACAGTTTAGGTAAGGTATATTGCAAAATCATTGTGCCTCAAAGTTAACAGCACCAGTTTGTGACTAAATAAAGTGAACCAGACAAACAACTTCTCTTCAAGCTTTTCTCTGTTTTGGTTCATCTGTTTTTTCAGCGGTAATTTCTTGCGTCCCGCTGTGTATACCTAAATAGGGGTCTCTTGAAAGTGGTGTTCGCTGACGTTCCACAAGAGATGTATGATCCTCAGGAGGTTGAGTTCCCGAAAAAAAGAAGCCATATAGGCTGTGAATTTTTCTTCTGTATGGACAGGGGATCTACTAAACCACGCAGAGTACCCATATAAATACCATTATATGCAAGAGCGATGTAACGTCTGATTCGTAGGCTGGTGATAGGTCGGGGACGGCAAATATCAATTTCGGTCATGCGCTAAGTATGGGCACTATCCAGTTGTCGAATAACTCACGATAAACCTTATTGAGTGCGTCGTCGAAGAGGAATGGCAAGAGGTAGATTCTGGTCGGTTGCTTGTGGCCAAAGCAACACTGGAATGCCATTTAGTGCCTCCTATTTATGATTGGACAACAAATTTGTGCGGAATGAACATATATTTCAGGATCTGTCTGCCTAAAGTATACAAACTTTTCCTGTGGAAGTAGAAGGTAAACCGGAAGCTGCCATTTTCAAGCAAGTTGACCGCTTGGCTTTTTGTGCGGGTCACCCGTACTTAAGAATGTGGCTCGAAAATTCCAACGTTTAATGAATAGTACGTTTTATTGTATACAATATGTCCACTTCCAAGTTGAGAACCGTTTCACCGCTGCTTCAGATGAGCTATATGTCAGAAATAGTATTATTATTAGCATTACAGTTATTAGTGACCCCATGGATCTTGCACCCCAGTCCATATGCACAAGTTTCAAGTACGACGGAAGTAGATTGCTCTGATTGGGGCTTGTATAGGTGACACCGGCCTAATGTGGGAGCTGTTCTGGGACACCGCAAGCTGGCCGCTGTAAATCAACCTCATGCTCTCAGTAACCTGGTGAGTTACTATGGGTGGCTGGTTCTAGACTGCAACCCTTTCATGTGACCACCGACAGAATTTGTTTCACGGAAACTTGACGTGTGTAAGTTTAGACACTTCACCAAACTTGTCTTCTATTAGATCAAAGAGGCCAGTAGACTTTCAAGCATGCTGGTGCATCAACACAACAGTATGAATTGTTGCCTCCGACACATCGGTGTTAGCATTTGAAGCCATTTCAGAACGATAAATCAATAACCTAAACAACATTTTCCCCAAAGTGGCTGCAAGGGTCAGAAGTAAGACGCGGCCCGTCTAGCTGAGGACTCCTGCCTTTAAGCTGCTTTGTGTGCCGTTTTCTACATTCCATTGTTTGTTGTGATGACACAGGTACACGGCCTAAAACCTCCAGATGTCTTTTTATCTCAACATTCTCCCAATTCCTGGAGCTTGAAGGGAGATTAATGGACTGCACTTCACCTCAAACAACCATTGCATACCCAGAAACGATAATTCAGTAGCTGTTTCACTGCTTCGAAAATCTTAACCAAACTGCGCAACGCAAAGACTTCGCCCAAATTTCTTCATCGAAAAAAGTTCTTAAGCTTGACCATGAGCAGTCGCATACGACTATCAAACTGCAGACGTGGCTTGCGAGTTCTCGTGAAGACGCAACCCCGTGTGACATATCCGCAACCTTGATCAGTAGGCTGCGGAAACTACTTCATCTAGGGGTAGGCCACCATCTGGCCTGTTGCACAATGTTTCCACTGGGTTAGGCGGAAGGGATGTTAAAGAGTGAGCCCGGGCATGTGTAGCCCACCAAGGATGTAAAATCAGTCAAAACCCTGGGAACCTTCCAATGCTTTCAAAGTGCCTAGCACCCAGGACACCTACCATAATATTACTAGCAAAACATGCCTACTGACGGCTGAAAACCACAAATGCTCTACAGCGCCCCTCAGTGACACTAGGTGTTTGAGTTGCTTTGAGGTCTGGTGTTGAATGGACTACAAAACGTCTACACAGCTAATGTTCAACCATGAAGGGATCCCGTTTCACCCAACTTTTAGTTCCTTTTTAAGCTAGAATTTTAAAGTGGCCAAGCTTGTAATCACAGTGCACTCAGTAAGTGTTGCCCCTTTTCGGCTATGAGCCACTTATTTTTCCTTCACATCATCTAACAAAATGCACCACATGTTCTCGTCCATCGCAACGCCACCCTTCCACTGCTCGAATCACTATGTGATGTGCCCCTCAAAATCATAAAGGGACACGAAACGTTTGGTATTATCTCTGGGGAAGGGAGTGAACGTACTACTCGCATAGACGTTTTGAAGCTATGTTAGTAAGAATGTTATCCCTGGCGAGTGACGTTGTCCCTTCTCAGGCTAGCTATCCCGGCAATGATTTTAAATCGAACTGACAGTTACCTCAATGATTGGTACATGTCACTGTCCTGTGAGTGGTGAAAGGCACGCTCAAGTCAAATTTTCAAGTTAGCGGAATGGCTAGTACCGTACCCAGCTGCAGAGTGGGTGTAGTTGTGCCCTATTTCACCCTTTCCTCATTAGACTGCATTTCCATGATGACTCAATTTTTTTGCTCCATTTCCTCGGCATATTGTAAAGTTTTTCCGAAACTATGTTTCAGATTTTTAATTTTGTTAGGTCTTTGATTGTTGTCCTTACCTCTGTGGCACGTCTGTTGCACCATCTTCGTCTTAGGATATTCTTTTGAAGAGAAACAAAACTTTGCGCTCTTTTCCAAGATCAGCCAGCGCCGGACTGAACATCAAAGAAAGGCGGGGATCAAGGCTGTTCATCCATTTCATGAATTAAGTTGTTCCCTGAGATAAAAACTTCAAACATGTTTCGGCAGACAGTAACTCTACTGGTCGTGCGCCATTTGGTGAGTTTCGAAACGGGTGATGTGTGAGGATTTCCCTTATGATGGTTGCCAGATGAGGTCCGCACGGAGGCATTAAAGGTGATTTGGCCGTGGCGAGTAGCACATCTTCAAAACCAATATCTTAAAGTTCAAAGACAATCAACGTTGTCCCTGACTAAAGTAACTGAAAGCTGCCTGAGTGGCTTAGCATTGAAGCCTTGACCTGTTGTGATGGACAACGTAGTTTCGAATATGTCATAGAAAGTAAGTTCTCTTGGGGTGGGAAACGCTTTGCTGACGGCTGCAAATCACCATGAAACCCAGGTCAAAGGTTGCTTGAAAACTGCCTTAAACGATCTAAGGTCGGTCACAATTCACTGTGATGCCGGTTTTTTGGCCTCGGTGGCCATATTGCAAAACGATCGATGGCCGTCGGTCATCACCTATGACTACAGAACATGAAATCGGTCTCCATTTGGTGACCAATAAGTGCACACATACCGTTGATAATATCATGATATGGCGGTGGGATTCACACGAAGCTGGACAGAGTTTCTCGGAATTTTTGTATCTTGAGGTTTCCCCGGGTGAAAAGACAGTGGTAAAAAAGAATTACACACCAGGGTATCGGATATTTTTAAGTTACTCTTGATTCCAGACTGTAAGCATTGGTGGTACATAAAGAACAATGCCACCCATTCTAGACGGTGTTTTTTAAATTATATCACTTACTGAACTCAATAGAAAGAAACAAATGTGAAATATTTCTGAGACATCAATGCTGCGTGAAATATGGGGTAGCTGTCGGCTATTGATGGTCTAGGTATTTAAAAACCAAACCAATTTTTGAATCACGGGCAGATCTATAGGGCTTCTTCATCTAGGATGATTGAGTGCCGGTGTACTATGAATATGTCTTAATCCTGTGGCTTGTGTTTTGCGAAGAAGGGAGTTCTTCCCACGGCCACATCAATATATCCTAGTCACCTGCCCGTTTTGTGGCACCAGGCTTTTGTTTCAACAAACGAACAAACCTATCCAATGGGTCTACGGTCATTCCCTAAAATTCTCACTTATTGCTACTGACTAATCTCAAGCACCACCCAGAAAATCCACCAAAGGCGACGTCTGACAGGAATAGAGGGTGAGAGGGCATGAAAGGAGACCCATGCTAATCCGTTCCCAATTATGACATGTACACTGTCTTATTACGATATAAAATGTGCTGCGGCCCTATCCATCTATTCACTTCAAAAGAGGGAGAGGTAAATACTTATCGTTTTGTGGTTTCGGTCACCGGACTTAATGACCCACCCATCGTCGCATATAATATACGCGGTATCAAAATGTGAACTATTTATCATTCCTTATCTTTATCTCACACTTCTCTGAACAGGGACGAGGGCTGGAAACATTCCCAGCAAATGAAGTTTTTCAGTACACGAAAATAAGATGAAGTGAACAACTGTTCGCTGGTTCAATGAGATGCCGTCTTCTTTTCACACCCTTTAAAAATCACTCACATAACTCTCAAGTATCTGAACAATTTTTAAAATCTCAGAGTCGAAATGCATGATAGAACTATGCCTTTTATGTTTTACCTGTACATTTCTTTGAGAACAACTATATGATCTCGTTGTCTTGCCACATTTATCATTTCTTTTATTTAACCGCTTTTCATGAGTCTTAAAAGGAGGGTAGTTTAATCTGACAAAATGGGCAACGAAGCATCCCTTCCGGATCTCTGCTCTACGTTTGATGTAGAAGAAATCAAACGTTTGGCCAAGAGATTCAAAAAGCTAGACCTGGATGGCTCAGGATCACTGAGTGTAAAGGAATTCATGAGTCTCCCAGAGCTGCAGCAGAACCCTCTAGTTGCAAGGGTCATCGAGATCTTCGATACAGACGGCAATGGAGAAGTTGATTTCAAGGAGTTTATTGATGGGATGTCCCAGTTTAGTGTCAAGGGAGAGAAAGAAGCTAAACTAAGATTTGCTTTTAAGATCTATGACATGGACAAGGACGGGTACATAAGTAATGGCGAATTGTTTCAAGTACGTTCAACTTTTTTACTCTCATAGCCATGTATATTTTAATACGATACTTTAAAATAATTGACTACAATAATTGCGTAGACTCGGTTGCTATGTATATCTCAGACACTTGCACTTAATAGTTGGTACATATCAGGCAATTGTTCATAATCCACTGTCTAAAGGAATCGGTATTTCCTTGCTCTAAGCTTGGGAGCAAGTCAGACATGCATGACTATGGATTCTAGTCTTCACCAAAGATGCACAGTAGGGACCTCAAGCCAACGACATATCAGACGATCTGGAACAATCTGTCGGAACTGACGGACATTCACGGTTCAAATGCATGAAAATGAACAATGTTCACATTGTCCGTTATCTTTGCTACCTTAAGTCCAGTCTACTGTAGATCCAACGAGATGCATATGATATGCGTCGAATATTTTGGGTACCACCTACATAGTAACTAAATGCAGTTCATAAAAGCGTTACCTGGAAAAATAAATATATCAACCAGTACGGTTTCACACCAACATCTTAGTTGGAAGTTCGAAAAATTCTATGCCAGTTATCTGTGAAAACTATCCTACATGAATATTTCGTTCATTTTTGCAGTTTTATTATTTATGGATGCGTCTTAAAAAATCTGGATACCTTTTTACCTTCTATGATATATTTTGTAATAGCAAGTAATTACTGATTAGTTTTTCTGGGTTAATTAGCTAGCTCCTACTTGTAGTTTGCATCCCTCTTCCTTATCATCCTCCGATTTTGGTATCATAGCTATGATATGCTTTCTGGCATATCTTGGCCTTAATACCATAGCGACGGCTAAAAACCACTTGTTAATATTATATATATATATATATATATATATATATATATATATATATATATATATATATATATATATATATATATAATCATTTGTCCCTTGGGTTCCTAATGGAACATAGAGCTTCAGTAGCACATCTCCAATGCGCTCTGTTCTCTGAAATCTTTTGAACCTGGCTCCACGACAACCCACAAGCTCTCATTTCCTCCTCGAACGATCTCCTCCATGTCACCCTCGCGTTGGACGCCCAACTCGTCGCTTCCCATCGGGGTCCCACTCAAGGGCCTGACGCGTTATGTCTCCAGGCGGCCTTCTCAGTGCATGCCCAATCCATTTCAACTTCCTTCTGCATATTTGTTGAGCGATCGCTTTTTAGTTGGTTCGTTGCCAACCAGCCAGAGTTGCTTGTTGCTTATTCCTTCTGGCCATCTGATCTTCAGTAACGAACCAGTGTAGGCAGTTGCTGATGAAAGTCTGTAGTTTGTTGGAAATTCCTTTCGTGACGCGCCAAGTCTCTGAACCATACAGGAGCACTGACTTGACGTTGGTGTTGAAAATCCGCATCTTGTTCCACATGCTGAGTGCAGAGGTTCTCCACACTGGTTTCAGGCTAATGAACGCCTGTCTTGCTGTTTTTCCGATCCTGACTTTGACATCCTCATCTGTGCCGCCTGTAGTTGAAACAGTACTGCCTAGATAGGTGGAAGAGGCTACTTCCATTGAGTTTCTCCCGTTGATGGTGATTGGAGTTTGTTGTTGTTGGTGGTGGTGGTGGTATTGATTGGGTATCTTCATCACCTCTGTCTTCTCTACGTTCACTTGAAGTCCTGTCTTCACTGCCCTGCCTCTTCTGTCAACTTGTTAGTTTTTGCCTGTAGATCTTTGAGTTTGTGCCATGAGATATTAGACAGCAATCATCATCGGCGAAATGCAAATCTCCTAAGGTCTTTTCATCGGTCGATCCAGCGTATCCCCCTCTTCTCACAGCTCCTCACTGTTTGTTGCATGATCCGGTCCACCACAACACAATCATGGATATCATGGGTGATAGTAGACAGGCTGGTTTCACTCCTGTCTTCACTTCAAAAGCATAACTGAGCTTCCCATTGTGAATTACTTGGCTGGCATGTGGCGTCTTCATATAGTTGTTGAATGAGATTGATAAAGGTTTGTGGTATTGCACTGGTTCATCTTCTGCTTCACCATCTTCGTCTCCTTCCTCTGTCGGCTCCCATGTGTCCATCGAGATCCATTCCTTGTCTCCTTTCTTCTTCCTTCCTAATACGGCTGTGCAGGTTTCTTTCCACATCTCTTTCAAAGACTTCCAGTGTTCTTCCACACAGGTTGCTTTGGGGATGTTCCTCGATATCTCCCATTTTGTCTTGATGACTGATTGACGTGAAGATATCCCTTGTAGTTTCGTCCTTCAGTTCAGTTTCTGTTCTGGGTGTTCAACTTGAATTGTGGTCTATCACCAACTTCTTTGAAGGCCTTCGACTTGATTTGGAAGGTTCCTTGCACTAGATAGTGGTCTGAGCCTACGTCTGCTCCTCTTCTTGACCTTGTGTCAAGTAGGTTGCGTCTCCACTTTTTTGAGATTGAGATGAGGTCGATCTGATTTTTAGTGTGTCCTGGTGTCTGGTGAAACCAAATCGATGTCGCTTTGTGAATATTTTTGTGCTTGAACACAGTGCCTGACTCCAATCACCGAATCGTTGAATGCACAGAATTCTGCAAACAATTCTCCATTCTCTTTCATTTCACCTAGCGCTTCTCGGCCCATGGTAATTCTCTTCCTGTGTTGTCTTATCCCAGTTTGGCATTCATGTCACCCAACCCATTAGAATTTTGATGTCGCCATCTGTCCAGCGTTTATTGCAGTTGTCTGTAAAATTCCTCTTTCTTCTCTTCATCTGCATTATTTGTAGGTGCATAGCGTAGCATTGTATGACTGTGACTTTCCTTCCTTCCTTCCTTCCTTTTTGAGTTGAACCTTGCTGTCATGATCCTGATGCTGGAGGAGATTGGTTCCCATTGCATGAGAGTGAGCTTTCGATGTTCTTGGGGACATCATGATAGCCACTCGATAACTCAGTGTGCTTGTGGTTGCCGTCTGGGTGATAATACCGGCGTAGATTATTGACTCTCCAGTTGACAGTTTGGAGGGTCCACTTCCGTTCCATCTGCTTTTGCAGATTCCCAGGCTAGCACTTCAATGCTACACCTTCTCACCCCCTTGGCAATCTGAGTTGCCCTGCTGGGTTCAAACATGGTGCGGACATTCCATGTCCCCACGTTTACTTTCGCTTTCATCGAGAGAAGCGAAGACACATCGGCCGATTGGCTTCCCGAGGACTTTCAGCAACTGGTGTCAGTTCGCCTCTCCGATTCCAGCGAGGAATAATTTTGTTTTTATTTTTTATATTTTGTTTGTGCTTTGAAGTTTCTTTAGCGGTTAGATTGGTTTTATGGTGTAGGGTTTCTAGCCCTACGCCCAACCTTCCCTCTGTACCCGGGCTTAGGACGGGCTAGTAACTAGTGAACTAGTTAACCAGGTGATTACATATATATATATATATATATATATATATATATATAATATAGATATAGATATAGATATAGATATATAGATATAGATATAGATATGTAGAACGGTTGGGGGTAAGTCATACCCATTGTGTTAGGGCTAATGAAACTACTAGCTATCCGGAACTTTATATTTGGGGCGAGTTTTGGGCCCTTGTCTCGCTTGTCCAAAGTTGCTTGTGTAGACCAATAAGCCGTAACTCCATTTCTGTCTCTCGCAAAAGTTGAGCATTTTAAGTCGCCACATTTTGCGATGGACAATGGTGTATCCTTCTACACGATTCTGACCGATATTAAACTCTGCCAGCCGAGGATCTTATGGTATTCATCCATGTGATCTCAAGGTTGCAACCAAGTAGCATATGTCTCCCTACACAGTTCTGACGGACAACCGCAAGCTTCACTGGTTAGTTTCTTGTATTGGTGTAGGCATAGTTGATTTTCTCCACCTTCATTCTGCTTTGGTTAAAACTGCATTTCAAAATAGTCATTGTCTCATTTTGCATATGTTCCATCCCGCACAGTTTCGCAGTCTACTTACCTGACTTCCCTCTCTTGCCTAGTACTCTATGCCTAATCTCAACATGCTCACTCAGTAGTTCCATATATGTAAACAATGATATAGCAGTATCTGTAGTAAAATCATCCAGTAACCTCGAGTTATATATACTTTTAAAAACTACTCAGTTGTACGATAAGGTAAGACACTGCTGCCTGGCTTTATCTTGTAATGACAAGTGGTTGGCAACACCACACATTGATGATTGTTAAACTATTGCTAAAGCTCCAAAGCGACACTAAGATCTAACAGGTGTGAGACGCATGCTATACTCAGAAAATGTTAGTACTTCTCAGAAAACCCACCTCATGATCGGAAGTTGTACCTTATTGCAGTATAATTTTACTTTAATAATCAGGTTTCTTCAATCACCTTATTATTGCGATGAATCCATCTGCAAACAGCCAGATTATTCAGCCTGCATTATCGACTATCACTTGTGAGTCAGTCTGTTTCGAATTGCCTAAATGGTTGATAAGTTTTTTGGCTCTTGTCCTGTGATATCCAGGAGAGGAAACCATACGGTGTTATTTGACGACCATATCACAACAGCATAGCCCCAGTAGAAATAATAAGATTTTGTTTAGTGTTCATATAGCTGCATTTTATCAGTATTTGCATAGAACACTAAAATTATCACCCTTGTAGGAGGAAAATTTCCCTCAGCTTAGTAATAAGACTTAGGAATGTCAACTCACTAACAAAATCAACGTAGGACCTCACACAGGTGCGTCGGCTCAAGTTGCTGCACTTCATAGTAGGATACAGAGACAGGTGGATAAAAAAAGGTGATATCGAAGTAGGTGAATCAGTGTAAGAGAATATACAATCTAAAGATAAAGGTTAGTGGGAAGACTAAAGCTCTAAAAGATGTCAAGAAGTGGATACATCTGCACCATTATGACCGATATTCAGCCGTGCCACCAAATCCAACCACTGATTCCTATAATCTAGGGGACTCCAACTATGTAGTCTGCATCTCCCATCACGGCTCGGATCAACCTTAAGAGATCTTCATTGATCAGTGTCACGTTTTGGTCT